TTTTAATTGTTTTTAGTTTTATTATTTGGTTAGGTATTGAGTGCCAAGCTAATCAAGCTAGCGCAACAAGTGAGGAATGCACTGTTGCTTGGGGTATGTTTTTTTTCCATTCCATATGAATTATGTTTTTGATTTTAGGAGTATGTTACTTAATCTTGATCTTAATATTTGTTACTTGCTTGGTGATCTTGTTTACTATAAACTCTGGTACTTGTCCTTTTTTACATAATTTAATTTTATGTAGTTGTCTAGGAAAAGAAAAAAATGAGTACATGTTGGTATTTTTTTCATCCGTTTTGCTTAACTTAAGAGTTTATTTTGTTTTAACACTAGTACATAAGAAATTGTAAATGCTTATGAGCAAAATTTAACTTTACAGGACAGGTCTTTTTTTTTTTCTTGAGAGTTGGGACTGCAGAAGTCAATATGAAGGACTTAGAGTTGTCTTTATTGGTGTTGGTTTGAGTCAAAAAAAATTTCAATGAAATGTGGTTATGTTGAATTGATATTGATTGACTCTGTGAAGTGAAAGATCCAGTTACCAGGGTCACTCTACTTGGCTGGTGGGATCACTAGGATGTCACCTTGGACTAAACCAAAAGTGAACCTAGACTTAATTATGAGACCCTTGTTGAAGTTGGTTAGTCGAAATCAAATGTATGTTTTCCTTGATACAGGTTGGTAGTCCTATTGAATGTGTCATAAAATAGGAGGGTTTTATTTTTGTTTCATGGAAGGCTTTATTTTTGTATTCAGAAAGGTACGAACCTTTTTTAAAATTTGAGGTTCATGCTTGAGTTCGTATTTCAATTTGAGATGTTGCTGGGAGATCAATTTTAATTTAGTTTGCAATATATTGCCCAATATACCTCTGAGCTTACCTATTGAAGTTTAGATCATTAAATAACTTCAGTCACCTTGAAAGATTACTTTACCATTGAAGTTGACCACAATCACATGCATCCTTCTAAGACGCTAAGGGCACTTTAAGCCTATTTATGTGCTTTGGGTTTTAGTGGTTCATTCTCCCAAATTTGTTGAAATTTTCCAAGTTCCCTTCATTTTAAGCTTAGATTTCATATTTGATTTCACTCTACCTTACAAGAACTTTGAAAAATGGAAACAGCATTGAAAGGGTGAGTATATGCATCTTGAGGGGAAATGTTGTGGTCTTTGTCAGCTCGTCTCTCTTGCTTGCACTTCTATCATTACTTAATCCTTTAATATTATTATGCGAGACTGGATTCTTGGCTGAGAGAAGTTCTGTTGATGATATGGCATGTTATTTAAATAGTCATTATGTATAAGTGGGCCATGGACGCTGTTAGATTTCATGTTGTTCAAATGTTGTCTGACTGGTTTTTTACCTACAGAGTACAAGTTACTTAAGACTGGCTAAGAGCCTTAGAACATAGGAATGTGACATGCGATCATATTAGAAAGAAGGAAATAAAGTTGGGAACCATTATAAAAGAGACTTGATGGCCATCAGTCATATATTTCACCTAGTGGCTGCCATGTGTAATTACTATTAGTGATATAACTTGAGTACTCGACTTATGTGTCATGGTTTTTAGCAACACTGACAGCATCTTGAATTACAGACATTATCATTTGTAGTTTTATTCACATCCCACAATTAAGAGTAAGCACTGTAAAGGCATTTTTAGCTCATTTCATAAAGCGTAAGATGTCTGCAAGACTCCTTCTGGGTTTGATGGGTGACACATCCCTTGGAATAGTATAATACTAGATTGCAATAGTGCGTATGTGTGTGGACCGAATGAAAGGATTAGTTTTGTATAATGCAATAGTGCGTATATGTGGTTAAGTTTTGTATATATAATTGAAAGTAGTATTCTGATGGAACCAAGTTGTTAGTAGCAGTATTGATTGATATGCAAAAATGTGCACAACATCATAAGTCTTATTTTTCTTAACATGAAATAGTGGAAACAACATTTGGGTGTTTGTTGGATTCATCTTCTTGGTCACATTATACTTTTATCCAATACAAATTATGGTAAGGATTAGGTGAGATATGAAATTTTGACCGAGATTTTACTAATACTATTCTTGGGATGAAAGTTTGGTGCTAAGCATATCAGGATCACAGGGACTCCCTTTTCGTTATTTTTTTGTCTTATCAGGTTTTGATGTTCTTTGTATGTCGGTTAATTATTAGTTGTTTCTATTTCTCGTCTCTATTGACTAGGAATATCTCATTCCTTGGCTGTTTTGTACTTCAATTATTGTTTTCCGTATTTTGCATTCAAGAAAGGTAGCAATGGTAGAGTGCATATAACATATGAGCACAGCGAATTAGAAACTTCTGACAAGATATGATGCACCATCCGATATCCTTATTGAGAGCATCTTTTGCTAACATTGTTTTATACAGAACACACAAACGCCTCCTAGGTACCAAACATTAATTGATAGCAATGTGAAGAATGATAAATATTGCCTCTTTGCTTATGTTTTGTGTGTTGGGATGGAGGTAGATGCTATTGTGTTTGAAATCATACTTCTTGTATGGAATGTTGAAGTTCATAAAATTGTTGCAGGTGTATGCAACCATGCATTTCATTTTCATTGCATCAGTCGTTGGCTCAAGACCCGTCAAGTCTGTCCGCTGGGTAAATATGCTATCTTCATCTGAACTATATTTTTATTTCCATTTCTTCAAGGCACAAACTAATATCATATACTTATGATCCTATGAAATGCAGATAACAGCGAGTGGGAGTTTCAAAAGTATGGCCACTAGGACCACTACAAGTGAGCAACAGGAGTATGGATTGTCATGTTTCAGTGCAACAGAACTAGGAAGTACAAATTGGATTTGGGGGCCCCTTTTACTTGTTTTTGTTGTTGTTAATGAAGTTGGATTCTGAAATCTTAAGGCTATATATATGAGATACCCTCAGGTCTTGAGTACATTAATAGTTTCAGGTGTTTGCAATTTATAAGTAGCCTATAATTAGTTCTCTGTGCAAATTGGTAGAAACAGTAACGTCTTGAATAGGCTATTGTTGCATATTTTCTCATGTGGGCTATGATGTCAACCTTCACCCTTTAAAGATCTACTGTTTGGCCTGTTTTTTCAGCTTGAATTCCCCATATTCCTATTAGAAATAGTGGTATGATCTGATTCTGAAATCTTGGCAGCACTAAAGTAAACTTCTAGATGACATTGTGTTTTTTTTTTTGGTAGCAACTCCCCAAGAAATTTAAATACAAAATAATAAACTTTTTGATGATTTGTGTGGTGATAGTGAGAATCTTAGGTTGGATTTGTATTAATCTTCATCATAACATAGGCTTCTGAATTTGAATTCCCAATCTTAGTAAGTGGTTCATTATTCAAGTCTCCAACCTGTTTATGTAATGAAGGTCAAATTTCTCGAAGTCTGATCTGAACTATTAAGTACAAATTATCCACTATCCGGTGGTCAGGTTGGGTACAGAGACATTTGAGGTGGGGCAAGCAGTTGGCAATGTTGCAGCATCGAAAGTGGAAAAACACGATGAAGCATGTAGGGCTAACCAACATGTTTTCATCCCGTTCGCTTTTGACATTTTTGGATTATTAGCCTCCGAGGCAATTGAGTTGTTTAGGAGAGTGCAGAAGATAATGGATATCAATGTTATGACAATAGGTTCCAACGAATATATTTTTAGGAGGATCGGTTTTGCTATTCAGAAAAGATTTGCAGCGCAGTTTGTAGCGTGTTTGTCCTCCACTTTTATATTTTTTTTTCTGAGTTTATA